GTGCGCCAGACGAAGACGTCATCATCGCACAGTAAAAGTTAATGTCATCGCCACTTACGAGAAAACTTTTGACCAGCTGTTAGTACCATGGAAGACATATGCTCTGCCCTTAAAAAAGGACACCGTATAGATAGAGTTGCCTGCAGACAGGACATCGCCAAAAGCGCTTTACAGAACGCCATTGCCCAATCATAAGAGCCAGCAAAAAGACTCTCTACCTACAACGGATGCATTTTCTTGGAATCCAGGATCGTTGTACCAGCTCCAGTGAGGATGAAGATTTTGCGAATGTTGCACGGTGACCACCCTGGACAAACTCGAATGAAGCCTGCTTAGCCAAAACTACGTCTACTGGCCTGGTACCAATAAATACGTCAAGAAAACTGTGGAACGCATCCAAAATTGTCAACATGCCGCCAAGAATCCCCTTAAAGCTGAAATGACTTGACTCATGGCCAACTGCAACACGTCCGATGGTACTCGTGCACTTCGCTGGACCACTCTACGGGGACATGTACCACGCTTACTCTCTTTGGCCCGAAACCGTGGTAATGTAGTCGACTACGTCACCCGCCACCAGGAACTTCTGAACATCTTCAAAAGCTTTGGATCCTCAGCAAGACTCCAATGGCACCTATTTCTTTCCTCAGTGCTTCGAAGATTTTTGCAGGAAGTACAGGATTAATCACATTCGAATGCCGCCGTTTTATAAGGGTTGTTTTAGACTGACCGCAGCAGACTACAGCTGACTGCAGTCTGCTGCGGTTCCGACTGACTTTTGAAACTGAGAGAAGAAGGAAACCTTTCGAATGCTGTCGAAGGTACTGCTATGTTACCGCTGTACGCCCTTCCCGTTTTCGCTTGATATTTTTCGCCACAGAGATGTTTCTTGGACGAAGAATGAATACACCACTCCCGCGTTTGGTCACGACGCTAGGTTTGCCACACCAAGCTGCTCTCCTGGATTGAAACTCGCGATAGAAGCTCAATACAACCGTCGACATGAAGCCAAGAAGAAGGAATCCGAGGTCTACGATGTCTATGCTCTACGTGTTGCCGTAATCCATCGAAACCGACATGGACACCAAAGCGTGTACGATCAAGGATTAGACGCTCACTTTACAACGTCGACATTAAAGGATTCGTATAGAAACGCCATGCCAACCCGCTGCGACATTGTGTTGTTCTCGACGCCATTCGCACGTTGCTGGATGAATTCGACCTTCTAGACTCGGAACTTCCCGAGCGTCGACTTCCGCCGTGGCCATTGATGTTCCCGCATCCGATGACCAGGAAGCCAGTCTCAACGATGCCGCCAATTCCTGATGTTGCTGCCGCCATAGCCGAACCTAGAGAAGAGGACGTCTTCACCACTCCACCGCCGTCGGGGCTCTCCGCCGGTCACAGGGGAGCCATCAACCTCAAGCAGTTTCAAAATGGATTCTTTGAAGAGGCGGTACAGTTAGAAACTCAAGGAGGAGATTGAGGAGTGATGTATCTATGTATTGTATTTGGTTTGTATAGTCGTATAGCGTCTTCTGTTGTAATTCAATCCATTGTTCTGTTGTTAGTTTCAAACTCTGTTTCCCATGGGTTTTCCGCCTGTTCTCATAAAGCCTTCCAAGTGCAATCTACCGAATGGTACGTTTCCAGAGAAGTTACTTTAATCGTTTGATGATTCATTCATTATTCCGATCAGCTAACAAACTGCTAAGTATTCCACTGTGTCCCAATGTAGACAAGAACTACAACAGTGAAAAAAAGCCTGCTCATTTCCAGTGATTTCTCCTTGTACCCTTGTCTATCGTAATTTCCTAGATATGGGTTAATTAGCAGTACACATTTCTACACTTTGTTACGCTAGGAAAGCTTTTACTGATTAGTTGTTACTAAAGATGTCGGTTGCTGGATATAGTCTTCAAAAACACATAAAGTTTACCGGAAGTTTTTTGATGCTTGGTGTGCTTCATAAGTGTCGAAAGTATCACACAGCCCATAAATCACATCATGCACTGGTCGTTCTAGCTCCAAGAGACTAAATACATAAATTGAAAAGCATCATCAGATGTGTGATTCAATAAGATGACGTTGTTTGAACCGCAAACTGATAAAAGAAATTTTTTGCCATTTTTGTCGGAGTTGCATGCTGAATATGTGTGTGGCTAATAGGGTATTCCCTGTTAAGCTGTCAATGCTGTACCAAAATCTAGTTCTTCCACCAATATTTGACTTTTCAGTTTATTTCTGGTTGTGTACCACTACCACGTCAATTTTGCTATAGTTACTTTCGTAAGTATACTGTGAATTTCTTGAGATTATGTGCTGTCATACATGTGACTTCATTTAGAAGTATCATGAGATGATATAGCAACATTTTTCTAAAATTTTCTTTTCTTTGCAAAACCACCTTACTTTTTATTACTGTAGAAAGCCTTCTAATGTATTCAAAATTTGTTGATTTTTTGAAGATTGAAGCTTCATCACGACATCGTTGAATTGGTATCTGCAAACGTCAATCACATGAATAGGACAAGTATTCGAATTATTGCAAAATGTTTGGATCTAAAGGCAAAAAATCAAACAGATTTGCTTGCTAAGAAGAAAAATACCAAATTTGTCTTGTCATGGAAACTGTACAGGTTCCGTGAAATATTTGAAGTTTGAGATGCTGTAGATATGAAAGGAGCTGCAACCGTGGGGGGGGGGGGGTGAAGGGTGAGGGAACTGTAAATTTAGATAGATACGCAGAAAGTCTACATCAAGTAAACATGAATTTTGCTGAATTTCGACGGTTTTATTGCTGTAAAACTCTATTATTTACCAGCTAGATAGGCTTTTGATGATTTGTGTGTTTCAACTTCATTACATAATTCAACCTTGCCGTTGCTGTTTGGTACGTTTTTTTTTGTTCTAGTATCGATAGTGGCGAAGTCAGAGGCCACCATTAGTGTTAGAATCAAGCAACAATTCGACGGTAAAAAACAATAACAATTTGGTTTGACAATTTTTCCCAAAAATTTGTTTTTGAGTGCACAGGTCTTCACCTTGATTTTATTTGAGAAGTTTATACAAAAAAAAACCATATCGCATTTGTTGTAAAGCTGGGTTTCTTATTAAGAACAGTCCGGAAGTCTTGAACAAAAAAAAAATTCTGACTAATGTAGAAGATGACGCATTGAATTGCAATGGCAAATAAGTCTGACAAAAAAGATCCGAATGGTTGAGAACTTGTGTATAATGACAGAGTCTAAGTCTTTCGCAGACTAATAGGATTTTTGTATAATCTCATAGTCAAAAGTTAATCTGCAAATGCTATGAACTGAAAGTTGTTGAATAGACTACATATCGTGTACTTCATTTCCATAAAATCTTCGCTAAGCCTTAATACTAATATAGTCGAACACTCGGTTTGTCCTTAATAGTAGTGATTTGCGGAATCTCGCTAAGGTGCGTATTACATATTATAAGTATACACTGAAGAAGCCAGTAACAAAAACCCTAGTTTTCCTTATCGCAGTCGAATCGATAACGATTAAAGCTAATCACCTGAATGACAGAGACTGACGATATACATATTCCTTTTCATAAGAGTCAGCCATTGTTTCGGAAGCACATACTTTCTCATTTTTCTCATATAGCTTGGAAAGGATTGTGTTTTTGTTTTCAGCTATGGCGCATTTCACATGATTGCTATGATAAATAAGTTACCCAGCCCTTTTGGAACCAAATTTTTGCGGTTCTGACGCGCAGGGTAAAAGTTCTTTACATCTGTTTGCTTTGTGGCATGACTTTCAGCAAGTAATTTGATACAAATGATTTTGTTTGAAATAATCATGTATTGCGTTGTTTTTCAAATTCGTGCCGTTTTTTCACTCATCATAAAAAAGCGTGGAATTCAGAAAGGTAAGAGTGCTAAGATATTCAGTGCACTTTTCTTTCCTTTTTCCGCTTGCGGACTAGTTCCTTATTCTTGATATTTGCGCATTTTTCAAAAATTTTTTGATACCTGTTGCGACGAATGCTAGAAAATAATCAGATTTTAGAAGTTAACCCGATAATTATTGAAGACCAAATTTGCAAGGTAGTTTGGCAGTTTGGAATTCGCTTTGGAATAACGCATTTTCATTCCGGATACATTGTGCACTTGTAGAACAAATATTTATGACAATTTTATCTTTGCAGCTACAAAATAAAAGAAAGCGTGATAACGGAAAGCGTTAATGGCATTTACACTGCTTAACGACTGTTATTACAGAAGGGTAAAGTAAGCACAAATTTGGTGTCCATCAAAAAATCATTTTTTACCAGTTTCAAAAATCATTTATGTGCGAACGAAGAAAGAGAATTGCTTTGCATTTGATACCAAATCTTTGTTAGTGATACAGAGTGATAGAAATTTTTACGCCTGCATACCTGATTGCACTGCAAAATATTCGCTTTCTTTTTGTTAAAAAATCAGAACACGAAAATGATTTAAAAACTAGCTGAAGCTATGGTAAGACAGTGGATCCAAATTTTTGGTAATTTTGAAATACCCAATTGGTCACAAGTGCTAAACAGGGAAGAGATGTGCGTTGAAGTCATTTGTGATTACTTTCATTTTAGTCATTTAGAAGATGTTGGAAAAATGTTTTGTCATAAAATAAAGTGGACTTCCTAAGCGGTTCCATAAATAAAATAGGCGTCCAAGGGTAGACCTTCAAGCAGTAGTTCCTTGTTGTCAGGTTCTCTATCGTTTTTGTCACCCTCTGCTGTTTTGTGCAGTTTTAATCCGATTGAGAGATAGCACAACTCAACTTTTACATTGGAAGTTGTTCATATTAAGCAAATACGATGAGATCTGAGTACTTGTCACATGATGAAACTTTTCTTTGATATTTATTTCCGACGACATTTGACAGAGTTGCCTTATCAATTCTTTTCGAGGAGACTTACCTGTTCTTAGTTGATAACAGCTTTATCTCTAATGTAGTCATAGCGAAGAAATCCCAAAAGCAATTATTGGATTAGTTCTTCAATGAATCAATATTAAGATGACTTTTAACTCAGTTTCTTTTCGCACAAAATGATTCTCATAACAGATATCGACTTCAACATTAAAAATGAATTGCAATGTAGGAACGGTTAATGTTCCTTAATTTTGGATTTTATTTGTGCAGTAAATTACGTTTTTTATGTACAAAAAACAATGCAGCAATATCGGTAATGTTTTCACTTTCTTTTTTTTGTACGGAAGGTCAACATTTCTACTTCAAATTTATTGTAAATAGTCAGTATTCACGAAAGCATCCCCATCAAGTCACTCTCAGGAAACCGTGTAGTTGAAGTACTTTCAAACCAATGGTTTGCTTTCAAATTTTTTGAAAAATCATTCATACCGCGATTTTCAATAACACGCTATCAAGACACGAATGAATGCCTAGAAATGTTAGGATAGTATCAGTGTAAGAAGTTTTGAATCAACGGGTAGGCAGATTCTGTAGCAGCTTATAGAGACAAATTTAACTCTCCATGAAAATTCGTCACTTTTGCTAATTCAAGAGATTTCATTTTTTTCGCAATCTACGAGGTGTTTCAGGTTATTGGCAAAAAACATAAATATTCTATTTGTGCCTTGTATTATAGTAACTACCCGTAAAACTACCAAGAAACCTCAGCCTTTTTGACAAGCCAAACTGAAGCCCATAAGGCCAAACAGCAAGAAGTTGCCTTTCAAAAAAATGAAACAAAAAATTTGTGACGTGCTGATAACATTTCTTTGTTTCAAACACTACCACTTACATTGAAAAAACTTTTTATAAGGGTATTACAGTTTTTTAGCATAACAGTATACAAAATCAATTCTGTCAGTCTTGACTTATCTTCAATGTTGTGATAGTTGGGGGAGGAGGACGAACGCTTCAATTAGGCATCGCCTCCGCGGGCTGCTGATCCTTTCGTCTTACTATTGTGCATCGTGTTAGGACCGGTTTTTTTGGCTTCTAAGAATAGACATATCAAAAAGAGCTTCTTTGTTTTGACTCTGCAAGTCACCGCTTTTCTTAGACTTTGTATGCGTTGATTTGTACATTTTTCCATCCCATGGATTATAAATATAATTATAGCGGCAGAATCCGGCCAAAATTGCGGGATTTGCCGGATTTGCGGGACTTGCGGGATTTAGTTATGACTTTCTTCAAATCAACTTAATTTGTAATCTGCAAGAAGATTTGGCTTCAGTTTGATAAGACAAACCTTTGAGTATACATTACGTCCGTTCAGTGCATTGTATTATATTGGAATGTGTTATGAGATTATCAACATATATTGTTGCTCATATGAACAAATTTTGAAAATGACAAAGTGGTATCATATCTCTGCCGTATCACCATAGACTACAGGCATAAGGTAAACTAAAAGATTCGTTTCATCAAGCTGAAGCCAAATCTTCTTGCAAATTTCATATAAAATTGTTTCAGAAGAAGTTATAAGTAAATTTCGCAAATCCCGCAGATCCGCAATTTTGGCCGGATCCCTCCGCTACAAGTGTCGTGTTTCAGTGTGTGTATGACAACACAGCATAATCAATGGTAAGTCAAATTGCTAAGTTATCGGACGTGCTAGAATTTCTGCAGTCTGGGGTTTCAGGATTTACAGGTAATAGAAACATTCAACTAATCTATGTAGATAATAGAGAAGTACCGACTATTTCAGAGGAAGTAGGGACACGATTGGGAAAACTACTCTCTATGGTGTTTCTGGGTGTTGTGAGCGTTTTTGCATTCATAATATTCATCTCATTGATTATCTCTATGGCTGCATCTGGCAAATCAGAATCTCAACCAGGTGAAGACTATAGATATAGATCACTATGATCATTTAGGGTAACTGCATAAAAGACGAATGCAAGTCACATTATAATCTTTTTAAATTCATTTTTTTCGTATCAATTTATGATTTCTTGCAGATAAAATAAGTCAAAGAGGTAGATAGAACTTTGAAAGATTTGAGAGCGTTTTGGCTGCTACTCCTAGTTCCTAAATCATTTTATTGGGATCATAAGAATGAAGAAAACCTCCAAGACCAAAAAATCCATGAATTTTGATTTTGAAGCAAAACCTTTTTGCGCGATTGCTTTATGAAAGTCATTCTTATTAAGAATTTGCGATAAAGTGAGGATGGCATTTTGTCTGATTGTGTGACTAGAAACGTCTCAAAAAAAAACTGACTCTCTAAAACCCAACTTTTGACACAGATCCTGCAAAAGGAGCCTTGTCATGGCGAGTTAAATGCGCATTTTGTTTTCTGTCTCAATCCAGCTTTCTCATGTCTTACAAGGGATGTCAGGTAACTTAGAATCGCGTTCCGAAACAAGACACATATGTCTAGAATCAGCTTCAGACGCTGATCCCAGATGTTTTGTTCCTAGCTGCGGCACGTCATTCTGAAGCAAGTTATCGTTTTTCTACTGTGCAAAATTTGCATACTCTTTGACCTAGTAGCATTACGGTATCATCATCTAAGTGCTAATTGACTGCATAACCTCTCTTGTCAATTGAAAAAGGCTCACTCTGATATATAATAATTTCGTATCCCATCACCGTCTTCAGACAGGTTTCTATTTACAGGAAGCATTACCGTATGGAAAATATGGCAATTTCGCACAGAAAAAAGCTCATAACCTTTTCTCAGAATAATGCGCCGCAGCTAGGAACGGCATATCTGGAACCAGCGTTGGAAGCTGATTCTAAATATGTATGTCTCATCTCAAAACACGATTCTGAACAGGGAAGGAAACTTGGTGGCTCCGGCCATTCGCAATGGTTTGTATGTCAAAAATGCGCCTTCTAATGCTGGTTCGAGTACCATTTTTCATGTCTGCGAAACGAGAACCTGGATGGAGTTATGATTATTTTTTCAAAAATAAATTGCGTTATTGTGGAGGGTAAAATTCATTGATAAAAAATTTTCTTTCCTCTTCAAATGCTGAATATGGTGTAGATAAATATAAATACAACGTTACACCCTTCAAGATTTCCCTCAATGGCTTCAAACGGTAAAATAGAACAAATCGGGTAATTTTGACTACCTAAAAGTACGCAAATTTACGAAAGTTTATCACTGCCTTCAATTGATCGTTTCGCAGATTTTGAGCACAGATTTATTATCAGATTTTCGAGTGCACCTTAACACGTTTCGGACCGCGAAATCGCGCGTGGCGAAAAAGAGTGTGCTTTCATCCATTAACCAACAAAAAGGCCTTATTTTATGAACTGTGTGCTATACCTGTAGTCAGCATGTCAGATAAGCTCCATACGTAAAGTTCTGAGTGATTTCGAAGTGTTTGAATTTTTTCGCTTGGGAAGGGTTTCTCTGTTTCTTATAAGATAGGAGCAAAAACTCAATTTTTAATACTATCCAAAAGTATTAATGTTGCACACGATACATATCATTATTGAAACTACGGCTTTTCTCTTTCAAATGGAAGCAAAGAAAAGTTGCATGCAGTTGCAAAAGTTGCACGTCGCACGCGTCGTTCACTTTGCCGCACTTTGTTGCAACTGTCGTTCGATTTGTCCTCATATCACCTAAACAAATACAGGCAGCACAGCTCTACAGAGTCTTTTGAGAAGTAGGAACTTAGATCTTTGACTTGATAACCTTAGACTAAGAGAAACCCTCCTGTAAGCGTCAAATTATCCTTCAAAGCAGCGTGCTGCATTATGCGCAGCACCGGTCCGAAAAGTGTTAAAGGCACTGGCTCGACAAATCTCAAATTAGTGAAATTTTTGCTTATTTGGGGTTATTCAAAACGCTGATCCCGAAAATGCACTTTTGAGAGCTTGAAAACGGCGAAAACGAGCGTTTTTCAATGCCCCTCTTTATGAAATTGGACGAGTATAGCAAGGCTGATGACGCTGAATCGTTGCAGGGCCCAATGGTTATAGCATTGCTGCGGGCAGCCTCCAGGTGCGAAAAAATTTGTTAACTCGTCCGGATGCGTGTAAGATTAGTCTGCGCGTGTAAGTCTGAAGGCAATTATCTCGGCAGGGAAGGCATGCTGTGCAACCGGGATTGCACTGTTTTCAAACTTGGGCAACGGAACCCACCGCGTTGAAATCCTGAGTTGTTGAGTTTTGCCGACCCACTGCCTTTAAGGTGTACATCGCATTCCACATGGCCGAGATTACCAAGTATCCTTTCCTTGTAAGTTGCCTGACATCTTTGTTAGTCTGAACTCGTGAAATGCTATTTTGTGGAGCCGCGTATCTTCGTATTATCGGTTGTTAGAACTTCTTAAAAACATCCTGCTACATTCCCCTTTGAATGCTTTAACTGAGACCTAAATTGGTACAGATCTTTATCAGACAATACAGGTTGACTTTTCGGCAAGTTGACCTTCTTCACTCTAATAGTGGAAGACACGTAAGCAAACTATCCTCAAACACCCTGTCGAATACGTAGAAAACACGGAGAAAACATTAGTATCGGTTGCGACGATACGAAACTTCATAAACGAGAGACTCTGGGCTAAAATCAACAGTCTGTTCATAGAAATCGTTACAGAACCACCGCCCTACGTCGTAACAACGCAGTCGGCAGGTTTGATTTGAAGTTATGCAGCTTAGCAGTGCTCCACTCACAGCTTTTTAGAAAGCACACTCACTAGCCTACTGTATTCCACGAAGCTCACAAGCTTGATTTCGCAAACACCCACCACTCTCAGTCCAACGCATGCAGGTCTCCCTCCCGTTTCCTATCCCAAATGATGAAACTTGAACTTTTTTAGGAAACAATAGCTATTTCAGGAACATCAACAGGTATTTATATCGCCAAGCTACTCTTAAATCGCTACACATCTTTCTTTTTGCAGAACGCAGCTCTTCGAGTTCAACCATGAGGACATCTTCAAGTTCTACCAGAACTTCCAAAATAACAACAACAACAACGACGACGACAACAACAACAACAGCAGCAACAACAACAACAATAAAACGTGAGCACATTGAATTTTCAAAACGCCATATGTAAACAAAGTAGTAAACCACAGACGCTATGCCGAGATTATAGAGTTTATACCAAAAAAATTTGTATTGTTTTAAAGCTTGATAGTACACAACTTCACAAAATTCTAAGGTTCTGATAGATGATCTTTGATAAACGCAACAGAAGCTAGTTCTTCCTGTAGTTTAGTTTCCTGTACATCTCCACTTCTTATCAATCTGTATGTTTTGCTTTTTGAATTTACTTTAGTGAGGCAATATCTAGAAGTACCTTGTGGTTAATTCATTCAGATTGCAAGCATCTTCATTTAGGTCTGATAGAACCTCAAGTTTCAGAAAATTTCAAAAATGCATCGGTTTTTTCTGTCTTTGAGAAGTCATCAGTTATACAGTGCTGGTCAAAACTATAGATCCACTATAAAAAACTGCCGTAATTCATCTGCTTCTCAACGAATTGATCTGAGATTTGGTGCAGCTGTGTGCTCAACAGGCCTTCATCAGCGCCCGGAGTTCCCGCTTTCGTTAGATTATTCAGGAAAAATCAAAAATTTCGAAAAAAGCAGGCTCGAAGGTTGGCCAAAACTATAGATTCACCTAAAATTTCTGTCTGCTAAAGTAATTCTCGGCTTCCAAAGTCTTTTGCGCATATACATAGTCGAAAGTCAAAGCAGTGCCTTTAGTTTAGCTGTGTCATACCTATATAAGAAACGCTTATCTGCTTTTTTTTACTTAAAAAATACTTGCATGCGTATTTTGTTCCCGAGAATGTGTTTTTATAGATGATTCCGCACTTTTTTTGACTGGTTTGAAAGTGATAGAGCTCCATCTATCTTATATAGCTTAGCAGTAAGAGCAGTAGAAAAAAAATCGAGTTTTTGTATCCAAAGCGCACCCGACATAGACCTAACCGCAAGCCTGCGCTCGAATTTTTGCCTCTAAAATTGGTGTACGCTATTTTTGTAAGCTCAAAATAATGTAAAATCATTATTTAGCATTATTCAAAGAGAAGTTTATAAACTATAATCACGATGGTTTGCGAAGTCGCATTTTAACTCTTTTTCAAAGCATAAGTCTTGCGGTGTCTTCGGCCATCTCAAAGTACTTACCAAGTGATACCTTCCTTGAATTTTGCCACTATTTAGCTGCCGACTAGTGAATACACCCTGCATTGTATGTTGCCTTGTGACTCACATAAGCATTATGGTCAGCATCAGAAGTAACTTCAAGGCTTGTTGCAAATCACTTTTTGCAAGATGAAGTCCTTGGTTATCCTGCATACTAGGATCTACAGAAATCTGAAACCACTGCATAGGGACTTTCATGTATACTAATAATGTCATTACTCCAGTTCACGCTCATGACAACACTTCAAAAAGAGTTTGAAGGCCTAAATTTGAACGCAGGCCTGCGGCCAGGTCTATGTCGGGTGCGCTTTGGAAACGAAAACCCGAATTTTCTTTACTGCTCACACTGCTAAGAATCTATAAGATAGATGGAGCCCTATCACTTTCAAAACCAGTCAACAAAGTGCGGAATCCTATATAAAACACATTCTCGAGAACAAAATACGCATAAAAGTGATTTTTGAGTGAAAAAAAGCAGATAAGCGTTTCTTATAAAGGTATGACACAGCTGAACTAAAATCACTGCTTTGACTTTCGACTTTGTATATGCGCAAAAAACTTTGGAAGCCGAGAATTACTTTAGCAGACAGAAATTTCAGGTAAATCTATAGTTTTGGCCAACCTTCGAGCCTGCTTTTTTCAAAATTTTTTATTTTTTCCTGAATAATCTAACGAAAGCGGGATCCGCTCCGATCACCGATGGAAGCCTGTTGAACACACAGCTGTACCAAATCTCAGATCAATTCGTTGAGAAGCAGGGGAATTACGGCAGTTTTTTAAAGTGGATATATAGTTTTGGCCAGCACTGTATATGAATATTTCATAGCAACGATTGGCACCAGAAGCTTGAACGCTTCTTGCTATACCGCAAATGGGCAAAGGATGCTTGTTCGAGCTGAGAGTGCTCAGTGTTGTAGGAAAGTCCTAGCAAAACCTAAATGCCTAAACCTTGACTTCGACGTTTCTATCTGAACTTTACACAAGTAAATTGCAAAATAAGTTTATAAAAGCTCAACTAACCGCTATACTCCATTCACATAGGCAACTCTAAAGCTGGTTCAAAAGGTAAGTCTGCGTAGGGGCGTTGATCAACTTTTTTAGCGCAAAGCACATAAAGATTTTATAAGGGCTTCAGATGAGCGCTCTAAGACTTTGTCATCACTTTCCGCATCTTACTTTAATATTTTTTAAAGTATTCTCTAGCACCGCCTTCAAACAAAGTTTATTTCCTTTCTCTTCGTATAATATACGCATTAGTTTGGATGAAGGCGAAAAATTGTAATATACTTTTCCACTTTTGTTGTAGAAAATCTAATGTAATCTTATTAACACAAACAAAATGTTTCAGCTCAACAGGCTATACATTGTGCATGTGCAGTTGACTTGCATAATCTGAATAATGACACAGTGTTGTTGAAAAAGGTGAGTTTATCTTTTCATATGCTCCGAGTCTTTCTGAAAGCCGACTCTCGGCTGATTTGAGTTTTTCTAAAGATGACTTAAGTGGCTTGTTAGCCTCATTTCCTCATTATGTAATTCCTTGATTCTCACTGATTTTGTCTCTCCGCAGAGAAAAATCCTTCAACTTTGTTTTAGAACTTCATTTAAAACTTCGGCGACATTTGACCCATTGCGATGCTAAATGATAGTGTGTTTTTGCAGGAAAAGTATCTAGTCGTTGATATTGTTAAGAAAATTCTCGACAACGTCGGAAATTCGACCGCTGGTCTCTGGGTCTATGGTTTTGTAAGAAACACGGCGGTAAAGGTTTTCAGTAAAGTTTTTGATGAAATGTTAGACGATGTTGGAGAATTCTATCAAGATGCTACCAACAAGATGATGTTTGGTACGAACTTGTCACCTCGAGATCAAAAGTATGGTTTAGCAGTTTTTTTACATGAAACTTCTTCAGTTATTGTAACATTTTTACCAATTGCAGTCTAACTGACGTTATTAATAATGGAGCAGATCCACTCAGGGTCGCAAACTGTCTGCTGCTTTTGTCGGGCATGTGAGTTTATCAGAGTTTCAATGCTATAACGGCATTAGGTAATTTTTTGAATTTTATACAGCACAAGATAATTCAAACAAAATTGTGATTAATCTGCTTTATGCATTTCGATAGATAAAGAATCTCAGAAGCTATTTTTAGAGAAGCTGCAAACATCTTCATTAATGGGAGGGGCAAACCAGGTTTTTGCCTGTATAAAAATAATGCTTTAATAAACCAATCTTTTAGCGCGGCAGAATTTAAGACGGGAGCATTACCCACATGCTCTAAAACGATCTCGTACATGGCAAAATGAAAACTTTGCAAACAATTAATTGTTTTGGTAACAACAAGGAAGCTTATGATAAAGCAACAAATTTGCTTAAGCGCATGAAAAACGTCAAAGTGTAAGAAATTCATGAGTATTTCTCGAATTAGCTGGAATCGTGCGAACGGGTAGTCAACACCTGACACCAACCCTCCCTTCAACAAATTTTTATGTCTTTTTACGACCAATATCTTTGTGTATAGAAGGTTACATGGCGGTATCAGATCGGCTTCATACTCTTTCGCTTTGCATTATGGTAGCTTTTAAGTGGTAGCGCAATCCCAGCTAAACCCACACAAGTGATCTCAAACTGATCAGTCATTGTCATTGTCATTTTCTCATAATAAGACATGAATAGTTTTTTTTTCACTTGGTTTAGCATTGAAACGTCTTCTTGAAAACTTTGGAAATAGAAGCTACGTCTTTTTGAAATTTCTGAATTTTTTCTTAATTCCCCGCTTTAAGCTCTACCCACAGAAGCTTTCTCTTAAATTCCACCACTTGCATAAAAAAACGAGCAAATTTGATTATAAAATTTTGTGACCTACTCCCTCTAATCGAAAGAAGTTTGTGTTGAAGTATACATCTCTAATTATAAGAACGGTTACATATGATTTCAGATAAGCAATTGAAAACAATAACTTGTTTTGTTAGTTTTCAGTTATATTTGATATTTGCGGGCATCATTACAAACTTTCTTTGCATGGAAGCAATCAATAGGAAAATTTTTTCTAAGAAATTGATCCAACCTTATACTATGTCATAAAAATCTTTAAAAAGCAAGCCTTTATCCTTTATCTTGCGTATTTGTGGTGGGGAAATCTGTGCAATAGGCATAGAGGCATTGTAATTACCTTGCCAACCTGCATGAGGTAATTCAGAGAAGAGAGATCTTAGTGTATGTATTTGAAAGCCCTAAAGCCTTGAAACAATACTTTGTCATGCTTATACATTTTGCAGCGGTTTTTCAAAGTAAAAAACACTCTCTGAAAACAGATCACGAAAGTTGCTAGGGTTTAACATACATAAAGCAATGTTTTCGCTAAGGCTTCTCTTTCTGAAAAAATACTTCACCTTAAGTTCTTGCCTGTTCACCATGGGGGTCACTTCTTTCAATACCGAGTCGTAAGATTTAGGCATGATTTTTGTCATTAATATCCAGAGTTGAAGTGAATCCAAACCGAGGTGGCTCAATGAAAAAGTGCTTGCGCCAGATTGATGCAAACGCATCTGAAATGCTCTTTTGCATTTGTTTCTCACTAAAAGGATGAAAAATTTGAACGGTTGTATCGTTTTTTCAAATCAGCACACCGGGTCAAAGCAATAGCCTCGTGCGCTTAGGCCATCTCTCATTCTTTAGAGAGACATTGCATTTTTTCTTGCAAGACGTCGCAAGCCATTACACTTTGAGAAACGAATTAGTAGTTTCTCATTTTGACGTGTACAAGATGATAGATGGTTGTACGTTCCCACAGTTTTTTCGGAGGATTGAATAACCCGCATAACAATTACTGAAGAAATTTTGACATAATTTTAACCCAACTTTTCTTTTTGAAACTCATTTCCAAATTATTTGACCGTTTCTCCAAATTGCCTGGTACCCCATCCCTTAGTTTTATCTGCTCAAAACTTCAATAACTTCCAGAACTTTTGATTTAGACTTTCGCAAGAACAAGGTGTTCCAAAAAATGTGCACATTATGTCTATCGCCATTATTATCGTAGATGATTCGACTCAGATTTGCAACATAGAACGCTCTTTATTGACGTAAAATTAGGGCAGAATTTTGAGAGGGTTCGAAGCCATTAAGAGTCATATTTTGGCTCAGGAAGAAGGTCAAGCAAGTCAAAAACTCAAGGCTTCTATTTATGGGCTAATTTGCACATAAGCGTGTTTCTTTCACAAATTATTCCAGGTTCCCGGAAGAACAACACCAAGTTTCTCATGTGATTATGCCATTAGAAAGCTCATAGACTGATAAACTCACGTACATAGTTGAATCAGCAAGCACTGCTCAAATTTTCAGTTTTAAAAATATGCTTCGAACGGCCTATCTCAAAATGGCTTCGTATGCTGATGGCTATTACCGTAATGCTACAGCAATGAGGTAAAATCCTTGCTCCTGTGATTCTGAGCTGAAGCTCTGGAAAACCATACCTTAACAGAGGCGAAAGACCTAAGCAAGCGAGAAGTCAACAATGAAAAGCGTGCATATTTTATCGTACGCCTTATTCAAAACGTCATACAAAGGAGCAACTCTTGAGCTTACCCACCGCTTACAAATTTCCAGTTGTAGCAATTCAGTTTCGCAAACCTTCTTTTCAAAAATGTCGATTTCGACAAATTCACAAAGCACATAATCGCACCATAACTAATTATCAACCGTCGTTTGTTTATCAACGATTTGATATCGCTCCTGACGGCTGTATTCTTAGTGTGTGACCGATAAAAAAACCTAAAATTTTCGAGTTTACCTAATAAAAAACAATTTTTTCCGATCAGATGGTGCCTGCAATCAGAATTGAAGAAAACATTCAAAAATTTTTAAAAAGGACTGTGAAGCCAATATTGTTATTGTACGATTTTCAGGAAAAATGTTAGCGAGTCCTGGAGAATCGAACCTCGCTATGCTTACAAGAGAATTGTGATTGTTAGTTTACAAGGTGAGTGAGCCGACTTCCAAATTTGAGTACACATTGTTTTACTGTTGGAAATGAGCTTGAAAATGAAGTAAGACCTCGTATTTGATAATTCTTCTTATTTCGATCGAAATCAGGGAACTAGACTTAGGTTCAGTTATACAAGCTATAATTAGCTGTCATATTCTGCTTCGCCTGTCATTGATAAAAGTATGATAAAAGTCACCATTACTTATTCTTGCGTAGCACTACCTTGTTCCCTGTTCCGCTTTGCAAACCAATTGCCTGCCACCACTATGTTTTCGTTATCAAAATGCTCGTTTACCCTTCTGTGCCGATTCCCAGCTCTTCAAGCCAACTTTTCAAAAAATTGTTGAGCGATTGATAATCAGCTCGAAACATCTTTGCTACCGCTTTAGAATTTATGTACGCCGAAGTTTTGCATGGCGATCTGTCGCGGATTGCGCGACTTCTTAAAGGAATGCTGTCCTTGCGCGAAAGGGCCTAAAACGCTAGTCCTCGAGCTGCCGCGCCTTATCGCCCGCATACAAATATCGCAGCTTACGTTCAGAAAGTCACTTACATTAACCTGTCCACTAGTAGGCGGTAGGCTTTCAACTCCAAGTTCCACCATTTATATCGAGCAGCTTCTCAACTCACGCGATTTCAACATCACCGCGCATGGAAGACTGACCCGTCGCCTAGAGATAACCCTGTTCAACGCCTCCGTCTGCCACAAGGCGGAGGCGTTAAACACTTTAGGGTTTTCTTTCCACCGGCCCTACGAACACTCTTGGCCAGCGTGCTCTCTGCACACTGTATTGAGTGGTTTGTTTGGGTTGGAGTTGGATAAATGATGGGCACTCTAGGATCGTAGAGTGTTGACAGTAGTTTGGTCATGGGCACGCCGCGTACGCTGCGTGCGCGGCGTAGTATGAAGGAACCCTTAGGCGTAAGGCATACCTCTCGCGATCTCGCAAAATTGCCACATCCTCGCGATTTGGCGATTTGCCAGATGACTAGAGATTAAGCATGCGAGGCTCTCAGATGCATGGGTGCGTAGATTCCGTATATTGTAACAAACACAGCAAGTCTGGCCCAAGCAAAGTGCGCTTACGACCAGCTATGGAGAGTCGTTGCAGTGCCAAATCGCGCGGCGACTAAAATCGCGCGATTGCCTTAGGCCCCGGTCAGACTTCACGCGACCTAATCGTCGCGATCTAATCGCCAAGATTTCCATTCATTTTCATTTCACATTCAAAAATATCGGGCTGGAAAAGTATCACAACCGAATGCAAGTTGATCGGCATGGAATGATGTTGTAACAGTTGTCTCGTCGCGATTCAGTCGCGACGATCAAATCGCGTGAAGTCTGCCCGGGGCCTTAGGTCTAAGGCATACTTCACGCGATTCCAGTCGCTGCGTGATCTGGCACTGCAGCGACTCTTCGTAAGTGGTCGTTAGCGCGCTTCGCATGGGCCAGACTTAAAGGTTTTGCATTAACTTACGGTAGCTACGCGCCTATGCACTTAGGGCCCGCACACGATTGATCTGTAAATATCTGGCAAACTGCCAAGTCGCATGGATGTAGCGATTTGACTAAATCGCGCGAGGTATGCCTTAGGCTTGCGTCAGAGTGCCGAAGCCACGCCAGCGCTGCGACGAGGTAGCGCCGAGCTGTCTTGGCGCTGTTTCGATCGATACAGTGTATTTTGTTCAGAGCGGGGCTAGCTGACTAGTTCTCAGCTAGGTAATTGCACCGACTATTGATCAAATCACTTCAAAATCCGGTAGCGCATTGCCAGCAAGGGTTAGCTAGCCCCGCCCAAAACGTAATGCACGTTTATCGATCGAATCAGCGCCGGGACAGCTCGGCACTAGCTCGGCTTTGGCTGGCGCCAGCGCAGCGCTCGCGTGGCTTCGCCACTCTGGCGGGAGCCTTAGCTCCTATTACATCCATATGCAAAATGTGTTCATTATGAACTTTGTTTAAGAAAGATTCCACCAGGAAGGACGGCATGATGCATGCTAATGTCCAAGTTATACTTGATACACTGGCAATATTGTTAGCCGCAGCGTGAGATAGTTGGCAATAGAAATTAGGGGGGGGGGGGACCTAGGGTCTTGATATGTTCAGTGTATTTGTGTTCGTGGCAGGACATAAAAGCATAGCGCAAGCACGCTTCCTTTTCTCACATCCTTCTCACGTTACCTCATCTCACGGAGTCAGCTCCTGTCGCCGATGCAGGAAATCTCTAAAGCACTGACGTCTGGAGCTGGAAACCTCAATTTGCGATACGACCCTTCCATCAATTTAGCAACCGGTTGCAGCAAGTTACTTGTTTCTATTTCTAGATATTGGCAGGTGACTTGTTTTTACTTTTTCGAAGGAGACTTTCGAAATTCCTCTTTCCAAATCTTCGAGGTCATGAGCCCCCAAAATTTCAATTTTAAAATTTTTGGTTGTGCGTGGCTATCGTCACTCGCCTTCGATAGTTTATGATCTCTCCCGAAAATATGTAAGACAAGAAGAACAGCATTCTGGTGGCTCAGTGTCACATAACAATTGTCTGTAATATATTGAATGCCTTCGAAAGTAAATGTATTAGGTTGTTACATAAGTTTTGTTACACTTGAAACATGAACACTTCACACATAAAAAATTCTTCATGGCTTCTTCAAAGATTTTTTCCTAATTTCCGTATTATGTAAAATGTTGTGAGTCTTGAAACTCTCCGAATTATTTTTTGCAATTACATCATGCATCAGGGAAAGCTGGTCCTTTCAAACTGCTCTAACATCACTATTTGAGCACCAAGAACCATATAGCACCTAGAAAAAAGCCTGAAGAGAAAAAAGAAGAAGGAGAGAATTGTTGAATTAGAGAATAACATGAAGGTTGTTTTGTTAGATGAACAGACTGTTATTACTGCAACTCATGTCTGCGAAGGAGTAAATAAGCCCATTAAAGAGCCTTTCATTTCTCTCTCATATATGCTAAAACTAGGACTTTCTAGAGTTTTCCAGAGGAAAACGAAGAGTAAGGCAATAGGTGATGACCTAATAGTATTCAATTGTTTTACGATAGCATTCGATTGATGAAAGCCCGTAACAAGCATCAAATGCTCTTGAAAAACTGTCAGGTTGGTACGCAAAAGTAATGCGCGTTTTTCTAGCCCTTGTTTCAAGATAGCTTTTGTCCATCAAGTTTCTCCTATGAAACTTACCCAGCAAATTGTCAAGAAGCTTTTCTTATGCCCTATTCAATGGTGGTTGAAAGAAGCTTCTCACCTCATTCGTTAAAAAATTTATAGAGCTTCATACAACTGCATTCAAAACCAAATTTTCATTGCACTTACTTTTCCGGCCAGAATTCAAGCGCGAGTAAAGGAATTCTTTTAAGAAATTCAACTACTGTATGTAGTAGAAATTTTCTACATTATGCGCGTTTTACTATTTCTAGAAATTACTTAGATTGAGATCTCGGAGCCTCAATATGAGTGAAGGTTCTGACCATTCTGTGGCCTATAAATTTTTTTAAGGAGGGCAATCGCCAAAGTTCTGCTCATTTCTGTAAGCGTAAGGGTTGGCCCCCTGTTGACAGTTTTTGCAGAGATGTGGAAGCCATTCAGTACGCAGAAAATAAAAAATCTCCATTTTTTAGGATTTCGAGGGCTACGAAAAATGTCGAAAAAAGCGGACAATTTATTTTTTTCCTTTTCGCAAATATTCTTTATTTGAGCCCTTTTGTACTTTTTGTACTACTGACTTGCGGCTACAAGGCCGTTAAATTATCATTTATACCGACAAATCTTGAAGGAAATTATGATCAGTTAAGAATGAGATTTCCGAAACAAATTTTTTTTGCTTAACAATCCATATTTTTTCACCGACTTGCGATATCAACATAAGTTAATGTGCGCTGTATAGAGAGAGATCTGGTGCCTCTGATGACTTTACCGCACTGAAAAATAATATGGATTTCTCAGAAAGATATAGCACGTCAAAGTGAGAACTCACAAAACGGTCATTACTTTTGCACCAACCTAATGATATGCAAAGCCAGTTGCCTGCATGTTTTATTTTAGGTGCCAATCTCACCAATCATGTGGATAGTCGGGGAATTGCTGTGAACCTATCCTTCAACTACACACAGTCGGACGTTGAAACAGTATTCAAGGCTATAGCAAGCGGTTTCACGTAGGAAAGGCGTGAATTGTGTTTCAACAAGAGGAATCATCGAGGAATCATTGAGTCACTGTTTGTAAACGGAAAATATTTATCTGAGATCTCATTGTCAGTTGCACATGTATTTTGTAGCAAGCATAAAAAATCAGCAAATTCAAGTGGAGGCAGAACATGGAGGCGAAAACATTTTGAAAGTTTGCTAGTGCCTACAAAACGACCTAGTTTATTCTTTATTATTCTCATTTGAAAGTTTGAGATTGATGTATGCGGAAGCGAGTATCTTGAAAATAGACCTCATACGTGCGCCATCACTAAAAAAGGAATAAGGCCTCGAGTGTACCTTTTGCGATTGCTCCAAGATCGCGGCGATAATGATCTGGTAATTTGCCAATACCCGCAAATCCGTTTGGAATTCAAGCGCGTATGCGCACAGCTTCTGTATGCTTATGCGTACATGCCGAATCTTGCTTGCAGATGTGCGCCTACGGCAGATTATGATTAATTGCAGCAATTAGAAATCGTCCGGCGACGAGGTGTTCCCGATTCCTAATGTTTAGTACAGGTGGGATAAATTTTTGGAAGAGCATTTTACGCAAAATAAGCCTAACTAAACTTCAACTCACAAGCAAAACAAAAGCGTCCTTATACAGAACCAGCGCACTAATTGTCCTTTCTCTGCTTTCTTTCAGGCGTAAAAAGCTCTTACTATTGAAAAACAACATCGCAGCTGAATTTTTTTGCTTACAATAGGCTGAAGCAAAACTCATACTTAGAAAATTATGAGTTGTAAGGTAAAGCGAGCGAAGAGTGAAAATTGATGGAGTCATTACGCGCTTGAGATTGAATTTTGCATTCGTGCGCCAAAATCACTAGCGCAGATATGTTTGTGTGTTAGAATAGTACTATGTAGGTTGAGTTAAAGGTGATGAGAACTTGTCACTTTATTTTAACAATTCGCAAATCCGATAAAATAATGATAAGCAAGTATTCTTAAATGTCTCAAACGCAGCTTCTCGTTTTCTTCTCGACATTTGTGTAAACGGTCCAAATTTCCTTATGATTGCTGTAATTTTGGAAAAATAAACGATTTTATCATGTGTAACTTTAGCTGATATCAACATTTTCACTAAACCTTAGATACCAGTTTCTGTCGCTTCAGCATTTACCCGTTGACATAAAAAATTGATGCCCCTTAAGATGGTGACTTTAGCCCACTGTTCACAGATCTCACACTTTCTTGGTATAATTAATATTTTATTTGAATTATCAGGCATAACAACCTATTATTCCCTTATAAATATACCATTGCATCACCTCTGCTTCGCAGAGGTTCGCACTGGTCCTACTTTCCGTATGCCTTACTCATTTCCGCATAGTAATGACACTGAAACTTACCGCGCTATGCAGGCTATCACGAATGATAGAACAACTACTCATTCCTAGAGCTTTTTTCGTGTGAGGTCGGTATTGTGGATGAACTTCTCCCAGAAGAATAGATGCAATTAGGATTGATTTTTGGGTTTCTTATGGCTTGGTAGTCGCCATGGTGATAATCATCGTGGGCTACATCTCTGTGCAAAAATCTCCTTAAACGATCAATTAAATTCTTGGTAATTTGAACATTTACGCAAACAATTCTTTTTGGCGCCATCTTCGTAAAGTAATCAACTTTTAGTCAATTTTCTGGGCTAGAGTTCATGGCCTCCACATTAGCTTGTCAAACATATCCACGACTTTGCAAAAAGTGGTGGTAACAGGCCTAATTTTGCGGGCCAGAAGCGACGTGGATTCGTTTGACGCTTGATTTTTGAGGGATCCACTCAGCGGATCCGTTCGTGTTTTCGCATAGTGCACTTTCACGCTGCTCGCATGCGCCATGCAAAATTTGGGATCAGGACGTTGGCTGGAACAGGCTCCTCGAATTTCGCAACACGGACACACACACACACACACATCACACACACATACACACACACCATACACACACACATACACACACACACACACACACACACACACACACAACACGCTTTATTATAAGTCGTGATTTTCTTAATCTTCATACTGCTATCGTTATAATCATATTGTTTTTCTCGAAATCTATTTGTAATTGTAGGAAGCAAACTAGGGCGGCAGTTTTCCAAATTTTGATAGGAACTGGGGGCCAGACATTTGCATTAATTTGTTGTCTGGAATCAATGTTGTTTCGTTGTTGTTTAAGCTTTGTACATGACAAGCACTTGATCTCTTCTTTGCTTGTTTGTGAATGAGGAGGTGATCTTTGACGATTGTTGAGGACATTACCCATATTTGCACTTTCCATGCAGAGCAAGCTCTACAATTTGCACTTAAAGGGCATACAGTTTAGAAACTGATTACGAACACAGTCAATAGTTTACGTTGCTGTTATGCGAGCCATATGGATCCTTGTTGAGTGCATGGGCGTATACCCTATACCCTCTCGTCGAGGCGGGGCATTTCTCTGCACATCCTTGTTATTTCATGTATCGCAGTTATATTTCGTATGACGCGTAATCTGGGCTGCTCTCGTGTAAGAGAACATGTAGCACAACAGTAAAGCATAGGAGAGAGGATGGTAATCCCGCCGTTCAAGATAGGTTCAAGAAGAGCTTACTATATTATTTTTTGGAATCAAAAAATACTATAGTAAGATCTTCTTAAACCTATCTCAAAGTTAAATATTTTATCTAACTAGCGACCCTACGGGTCGCTAGCAAGTGGGTCGGGGCAGATACAATGTAAGGGCTTAGTTGTAACTATAAATACTTCTTAAGTTTCCTATTTCCAAAAATCATTCAGCATTTCTCGAAATTCCTGCTACAGCATGAAGAATATTATTTTTCTCTCGTTTACCACGCTCTTTCTGCAAATTTCCCCTCCTCTCAGAGACATTCAGATACCCCCCCCCCCCCCCACTTTTCTACCCTCTCAAAGAGAATTTGCTCTTTCAGTTTTTCTCAACAAGTTTCATAGAAGATCGTTAAGTAAGTAGCAGAACACCTTTGATTTTGGAAGCAGAAATACATTCAAAACAACTATGTGTACTACGAAAAACACATCTCTCTCAGAATTAATTCCGACAGTAATGAAGTCAATCGTCTAGGAACTTTGACAGAGAATTCTTCAATTTTTTCGCCAAAGGAATATGAGGCTTTACTACAAAAGGAGATCCCTCCCTGGAAAGCACGACTACTGAGCCACCTAAAGACCGTCAATTAAGATACAAAAAATTTGTTTCCCTGTCCGATCAAAATGCCCTACGTGCCGCTTATAAACTAATATTATCTATCTGAAAGACAGTTCATGCCCTACGTGCCGCTTGAAGACCGTTTAAAAATTATAAGAACTGCCCCAAACGTACAAAAATCTATTTCCCTGTCCGATCGAGTTGCCCTACGTGCCGCTTACAGACCGATAGTAACTATTCAAAAAGGAAATTTATGCCTTATGTGCCGCTGAAGACCGTATATATAAGAAAAACCAACTACGACTCAAACAAAAAGAAAACAACGAATTCAAGTATTCTCAGATTGCCGTACATGTCACTTTAGGACTTTCAATTCTGAGAACTGCCCTAAACGCACAAAAATCTGTTTCCCTGTCCAATCGAGTTGCCTTATGTTCCGGTTGAAGACCGTATATATATATAAGAAAAACCAACTACGGCTCAAACAAAAAAGAAAACAACGAATTCAAGTATTTATAGTGTATTCCCAAATTGTCGTACATATCACTTTAGGACTTTCAATTCTGAGAACTGCCCCATACGCACAAAAATCTGTTTCCCTGCCCGATCGAATTGCCCTAGGTGCCGCTTACACACCGATACCTAGTTGAAAGCTCCAGCGGGACCCAGTTACACAAGCAAAGCAAGGCTGTTGTTAGGTAAACGCTTTCAAAAGTACCAGCGAGGCCAAGTTACTCACTACGCACTCGCTTGTCTACACGCGGAAGCAAGATAATCGTAAAGTGACTGTTCTTAGTTAGAGCATTTTACCAAGAGTTGAGAACATAGATGAATTTAGCTCAAGTCACGCTGCTACGCAATTTGGCATCATTTCAAAAGCAACTAATAGGAATACAACCTATTTGAAAGACATAATCTGGGATAACAAGCTCGAAAAAAAAGAGGTACAAATAAAACACCCGGACACTGGCGACATATTCTCAAAAAATCATTGCGACATTCAGATCGCCTTTCGAAGTACGTGTGACCCTTTTACGAAAATATGTTGATCACTCGTTATGAAATTTGGCAGCGTTCCAAAACGCATGCCACTTGGCAGCAATCCAAAGTCAAAAATCAGCACTCCATTATAATTTCTCCGTCTGCTGCCTCCTCGTTTGCCACGTTCCACGGATCAGGGGTAGCCAAGTGGTAAACAACGATTCCAAATTATATTACGTAGTGATTTCAAGATAGATATAAGAAGAAATAAGATGTGAGGTTTTCATTGCTTTTGATCACCATAGTACACGAAGGCTTTAGAGAAGACTCGAGAATGCTATTGTTTATGTGGAAATCATCTTATATCTAATATCTAAAGGCTGAAGTTGAAGACTGGATTGTGAGATTGTATGTTCGTTAAAGAAATTTTTCTAAGTCTAGGGTAAGTCTTCTCATTCGTAAGCAAAGCAGGGCGGATAATAGGCTACGGCTCGTAGTAAGCCCCTCTCAGCGCAACTCGGCTGGGACGGGATTACAGGCTTTCTTCAATCCACTGAATGGACGGGATTTTAGCGCAGTATGAGAGCGCAGCTTCTAACAAACATAGTTCAAGTTCCATCAAAAAGGTGGATTTTGAAGCGAGAAAAGTGCTTTGGACAAGTTAAAAAAAGGCGCTACCCTAAGCCTGCCTCCAATCGGTAGAATCTCACCCACTCAGCGGTTTCCTACAGGTGCAGCAAAGTGCTTCCTGTCCATCGCTCTTTCGAAAGGACTCTCAAAAAAGGGCTTTTTTTGCGGTTTTTGCACAGTTTGAGGGGCAGATTACTATGCAGCAGGCCGAACAACCAACGCTGTTCAAAATCCCAAAGGTGAGAAACCTACCACTATGCCTTCAAATCGAAGTTAAAGGATCGGCAGAACGAGGCGCGTGGCAAAACAAAGTCCAGGGTAGGAACC